GACAGACATCCTCTAGCTCCTTGTTCCCCCACGGAGACGGAGACATTGGTAGAATTGGTCAAGTCCACATGAGACACTGGACCACCTGCAACTAAGAAAACCTCTGGTCTCATAATCGTCAGATAAATACAAGAAAACCCTTCCACAATCAGGAGAAATCTCTTACATGGAATTTTTTAGAAAGGTAGGGCTGGGACGAGTCCATATTTTCTACCCGGTGTAACCATAGAGTTCTAGATATTTTTTGTCAATAAACAACATATAATGTGACTAACCACGGGTCCAGGTAGTCCTGTGGGTACCCGGGTCATGCTCAGTACCAACCCGAGTACCCCGTCCCAGCCCTATAGAAAGGGCATACTTATGATGTGTTTCTTTTTATGTTTTACACATGTCATTCCACATGTCATGCATATGACTTCCTGTTATTTGTGGGATATCAGACAATCTGATATCGATCTTACTCCTTTTCTAGCTGTATGCATGACTGTACAGGTTTGAAATGCTCACTGTAGTTGTGCTGTATTGCAGATGTGGAAGTAGGTTGTCTCCCTTGTTCAGTTCTCCTCAGTAAATCAGCTGCTTCCTCTGTGAGGCGTCCAGTCATCTGATGGCCACGTGAGTCCGGATTTCCTTCCATTTCTCACTGTTCTGAAAGAAAACCATAGTTACTACCATCGATGATATGTCTCAGGACATTGATCAAGCAACACCAAATTCCCAAAAGCACAATAAAATGTTATCAACTGTTATCATTTACCAGAGACTGTTACGTGGTATGCACTCTTGTGACAACAGTTGCTTCCCTTGGCGTATGTCAGCCATGCAAGTTCTAATAAACGTTGATGCTTTAACCTGAGTTGGCTATGGCTATCCAGACATGTGTACAGCATACACAGCACGTAACATGGTGGCAGCAGGTGACTTTCTCACTCCTCTATGATACCACAACCTATTTCTGTCAGTTTTATGTCTGAAATGTTATAATGGAAGCCGAGGTGTTTCAGACCACGTGCGTTCGTTTGCTATCATTCAAATGTCTCAGCAGTGATGTCACTCGCTGAAATGAATGAACACTTGAATCTATTAGCTTAATTTGACGTGATAAGTGACATTCTGCACACTCGAGAGATTCCTGTCTGCATTTGTCGATGTCAACTAGCTACAAGTGTGTATTGTCTGTGAAGATAGTCTAGCCTTGCTTCAAGTCTGCAAATATGGCCGACAATCCTCCTCAAGCTCACTCAGCAAGCACTGCTCAAAGAGGGGGACTCTAGAAAGATGTATCGACATCTGTAAAGCCACTGAAAATGCGTCAGTTAGTCAAAGTTGATCAGACCTGAACCTATCAATAGAGTTGCAATAGACTTTTTGAGATCAAGGCAAAAGAAGCCTCTTCGTTCAAGTCAAAAGATGAATTCTCCATCGAGAAGTCAGAGACCCCAATCTCAGCATGAAAGAGACTGTAAATTCTGTGGTTATTCTCATATCATGGCTCGTAAAAGTTGTCCTGCATGGGGAAAAAAGTGCACGAAGTGTCACCAGCTGAATCATTTTGCACCAAAGTGTCCCAGTAAGAAGCAATACAGCAAAGTCAACAATGTTGAACGTCCAGATGAAGATTGGATAAATTCTGTGCATGAAGATTCAAACACGGACAAGCCTGCTAAATGTAGAATGACCGTGGAGGGAAGAGATGTCTTCTTCACTATTGATCCTGGTGCTGCTGTTAATATCATTCCGTCTTTTAAGGATGCTCTTCACAAACATGCAGAGAGGGCAAACTACCAAGCAGCAGTTTGGAAGAGGAGCCTGCAGCAGAAACCAGAGGTGCCTAGTCCTGATGGCTTTGGCTGGAGAATTGAGTGTGCACCTGAGGGAGGAGAAAAGCTTGTCATTGATTGGATGGACGGTGCACCAGCACCAGAAGCAGTACTTGAATTTCTTGCATGCAAATGCTCACGATCATGCAAGCTGCCATCATGTCCATGCATGGTCAACAGAATGAAGTGCTCTAGCATGTGTAAACTGAAAATGTGTGAAAATCAAGAGGATGAGGTTGAAACAGGAACTGATGTTTCATCTGAGGATGAATTTGATGAAGTCGACTTTTAGGGTGGTTAGAGGTTATCAACCACAAGAGGACTTTTCAATGTCCAATAACATTGTGAGTGCAAAGAATGAATCAATTGTGTAATATTATGCAATGAAAAGATATTACAGATATTTCTTTTCACAAGTTAAACTGTCCTTGAATTGTTTGTTGAAAGAGAGCATCGTTTCATGGAATGACAAGATTTTAGTTTGTCACAAAATGGTGGACGTACTCGTGGACATATTTTATATATAAAGCTACCAGTTACAGACTGCTATCATGCATTTTTATGAAGCAGGGATATTTCCCTTTTGAAAAAACAAGGTTAGAATTTGCCCCCTTGAATGTAACCGATTAGTCAAATATGGGTGCCCGGCTGACAGACTACACATAAACGTACAAGAGTAACTGGCAATGAATGATACAACAATCTTTCACAATAACCTCAATGATGACCTTGGCCTTTGACAGACTGTTGGAGAACTTTGATAGATATATTGTCAGAGAAGGACCCCATCCTAAAGAAGATGTATCTAGAAGTTTAATGATAACTGCATTTATACTTTTTGAGAAAGTGCAACCACAATTGTTTCAGTGAGATTTTCTCATACCCTTGACCTCTGATTCCCAAGGTCAACGTGGGATAAGTCAATTGTAGGCAATCCTCCAATGCTAATACTCAGGGGTTTTCCAGCCAAGCAGTAGCCACGTCAAAATAGTATATATTTTTATATATTTTTATGGACATGTAATATCATTCATTTATTAAATCTATCACATTTCACAATGTCTGAATTTCATTTCAATTGATCATTTTTTATCGATAAATTAAAACATTATTCACTATTTCCCGCGATGTTATTAAAATTCTCGTACACACATTTCGACAACGGGTCCACATCGAACATGTCAAAGAGCAAAATAAAGACGTTTTAAACAAATCTTTAAATATATTGTACAAAGTAATATATAAAATCAACAAAAATATATCTAAAAGTAATGAAACTTACATCTAAGTTATTATTTCCATCTTTTCGTGCGATCGTGTGTAATTTAAGCCAAATGACATCTCCGCTTTCGTCGCCTTGAATTCTCGGCTCGGACACGATGTTTAATGCAAAAATATATGCATGAAAAATCTTTGTCACAGCTCGTAACCTAGCACGATAAATTCACGAAATTCCATATTTTTAATATATATCGTGATTTCCTGCTTAAAACGTTTAGAATAACACGATTTAACAAAAATCTTTCGCCAACTTCTGAAATTTATCAAACACGAGCTTAGTATCACAGCTGTAATTTGATTGGCTGCCTGATGTCACGTGCTCAAAATTGACCAATCACGAAACGTGTAGCAGAATTCGGCAAGAAAGCGTCATTAGAAACCAATTTTAATCCAATGAAATCGCTTGTTATACCTACGGGGAAAAAACAGGCGATGTTACGAAAGCGCGAATACGAAATTTCTCTCAGCTAATTTATTGTACCATTTTACCAGTAGTTTGACATGTAGACAGTGATAGTAATTTCCAATATTACTTGCCTCCGGACAAGTTAAAGTAAGTGTTTTTGTTGCCCGACCTCGTATTTCTACTTGCCCCGGGAGTCGGGAAATGACAAATTTCCACCCCTGTAATACTTTTTACAAGTGAAAGAATAATACAAAGTTAGAACACAGTTGTAATACAGATCCATGGTGAGGCTAGAACTTGGTTGTAACACGTCTAGCCTGGTTGAAAATACAGGGCATTGATCTAGATCAGGAAGTGGTTTATCTTTTCTGGCTTTATAGTTTATACTTAAACATTACGACAGGCCCAGCATTACGAACGTCCTGCTCCCGTGTTTTCCAACCAGTCTGTAAACGTGAAATGTCACGGACGTGACAAGTCATGGCACTGTTTTACACCCATCGTGATCTACCCTTGTCATGACACCGTGTTACAAGCACCACATACATATAAAACGCTCACATTTCGTCAGTTGAACATGCTGAAGGGGCTGTGTGAGGCTCGTCTCGTCGACTTGCATCAGGAATTTAGGTGTAGGAAATATCAACTTTCGCTTTCGCTTTGGCAAGGGAGGTAAGTATATAATATACGCCATTAGTGGTATGCACATTATGTAATTCTACCATCAGTGAGGATTACCTTCCACCCCTTGTCTCATGGCAAGCTCCTTCCCAGCGCCTGACACCTTCGTTACACTCTCTGTATAGAGAGCTCCGCGAACGAGATATCGCTGTGAGGAGCTTGGTCTCATGGCGCTTCAACAAACATAGCGAGTGATTAAGTAAACTCCTTAGTCCTTACTGGCGTGGTGGCAGTGACAAAGAGCCCATACGTCGCCACTCTTGGTGCTTATTTCTCCGTCACAAGCCCCTGCGCACCTGAGGACATATTGATTTTGTCAGTTGAATCACCGTAATACAAGGGTGAAGCTGCAGTAAAATATCGCAATAGCAACAACACACAGATCCCCAAAGCCAGTGGTGTCTCACTTGACAGGAAACTCGTCGTCCTTTGAGAATTGGCGCCAGAATCTATACTGAACAGCAAAAGGAATGCAAGCTCCTTTTTGTTAATAATGACTGTATACACACCATTTTGTCTGAATACATTGGAAAATGCCGAAATGACGTATCAACTTGCGTCATGCAATGTGGCGTCTATTACACACATACACACAAACACAACCAACCAAAACCATGAATTGTGCACGTGCTGGCATAATCCGGGGTAAAAGAGCGAGCAAAATACATTTTTTTATAAAGGTGAATATCAAAGTTTAGTAGTATTCACACGAAAAGGTCTGCAGTTAACGTCAACGATGCCTAGACTGCCCTCTGTGCAGAGAGGAATGGCTCCCTGGAATGGTGTAGGCCGGTAACTCAGTAACAGTTCTAGCCAGACAGTTTGGATGTCATCTCACCACTACCACAAGAATTGCACAGCGTCAGCAGTAGGCTGTCCGTTACTGACCGACCACATTCTGGCGACCCAGAGTTACAACACCTGCACAATATGGCGTTATGAGGGTCCCAGTCCTCAAGCTGCAACAAGAACAGCAGCTGTAGTTCAGGATCCAGGGGGCGCAGTATCAGCAGACACCATTCGACGACGTCTCCACGCGGCTAAACTCCGCTGTCAACGTCCGTATGTCGGACCAACTTTGACACTGCAACTTCAACGTTTACGGTGGGCCCGGCAACATCAACGTTGGCGACGTGCTTAGTGGTGTCAAGTCTCGCCACCATCTTTTTCTTGCTTACGGTCGTGTACGTGTTTTGCGTCGCCGTAATGAATGTGACGCTGATTTCTGTGTCATTCAGGCCAACAGATGGGATACATCAGCTACAACATTAGGTCGCCATGTCCCCATTGGTCTTCGTGCATTCCTCCAGACCCATGTCAACTCGACGAGGCGACGTTGTACCGCCTGTGTGCTAGCCCAGCTATGGGGCATGGTACCGAACCCAGATCTGGTGCTCTTGCCTCTATCAAACCTGAAACGTCACAAGTACTAGACTCTCTTCTGGATGAAGTGCAATCATCAGAGGGTGCAAAAGTAATGAGCGCGGCAACATTTCATGTAGGCAACTCTCACATAACTTCCTACTCAAGTCAATAACGACTTGTCGGTCAATGTTTTACAGAAAACATCTTGAGTATGTTTCTTGTGTGACGTTCCAACACATACCACTATCTGAGTGAGTGTTTATTTCTGCATGAATTTCACTGGAAGTACATGGCCCGCGCTCGCCAAATCTCTCACAGTCTGACGAAGATGCTATTGGACAGACTGTTCCGTGTTAGACTGCAACCAGTGCAACGGAATCTGTCAATACTACTCGTTCCGCTTCCACCCTCCGCGGGATAAAGATCCATCTGAAGTTATAGGTACAATGCTGACATTCTGAAATGCGAGACACAATTAATTCTAGTCCTTAGAATATCTAACTTTATTTACTTAAGAAATGCCTGTCACTTTGTGTCAGTTCATTAGATTAAGAACCTTCATAGAGTGAGGGCCAAGTTTTATGAACGACGATATTAATGCAATGTTTGACCCAAACTTTTTAAAGGTTCACCCTCCATTAGAATAAGTATTCAGCATCCCATGCTTACCGTAAAAGGCGACTATGCTTATCGTAAGAGGTGACTAACGGGATCGGGTGGTCAGGCTCGCTGACTTGGTTGATGTATGTCATCGTGGATCGATGCTCATGATGTCAACCACTGGATTGTCTGGTCCAGACTCGATTATTTACATACCGCCGTCATATGACTGGAATATTGCTGAGCGTGGCGTTAAACAACAAACAAACAAACAAATATAAGCCCCCGTATGTTCTTGACGTGGGTCACTGACGTTGAACCACTATACGTAATACCTCTATCTACAAAACCATGGACATGGTCAATCAGAGAGAGGGCCCAGGTCAGCGAAGCGGACGGATTGAACGTCTAGTCTCTCCAACGATTATGTAGAGGACGCAGAATCGCGATCCGGCTTCCTGCTGTGTTTTAGTGACAGAACGGGTCTCCGCTCCTGCTGTGTTTTAGTGACAGAACGGGTCTCCGCTCCTGCTGTGTTTTAGTGACAGAACGGGTCTCCGCTCCTGCTGTGTTTTAGTGGCAGAACGGGTCTCTGCTCCTGCTGTGTTTTAGTGACGTGATTGCCATTACTTGTATCTTTTCGACCGATATTCCCCATCAACTCTAAATATGGCGGCTGTCGTCACCCCTGAGTTTTGTTTTCCGTCATCCCCCTGAGCTACCAATCGCGGGCAAAACGTACGTCCTTGGACAATAACTACTAGAGCAATGAAAACCATGCACGAGTGTTGATAATCTTTAATCTTGACCATCTTTAACTATTCTGATTCAGGGTAATAACAATCTCATTAAAATCAGATCTGAGTTCTTGCTACCGCTAAGATTTGTTTACCGGTAGCCAGAACTGAGATCTGATTTTGATGTCATTGAGGTAATAGTATCTTATAGTCAAAGTATGGTTCCCAGTATTTTAAGTTTTTTATTAAGATACAGTTACGACAGTCGTATGCAAAGATTGCTTTAGGGAACGATAGCTGCTAAATCGCATCAATCACTGGTTTTTGTCTCCATTATTTACAGGCACCAATGAAGCGGGACTACTGCCGAGTGCTGTGTTAATTCGGGACTATGCTCCGTCTTCTGTTGTCATTTCCAGTCTAGATCTAGACGTCATTAGTCATCAATCAGTGTCTGCATCATCAGTAAAAACTGCTACATTGACAGACACAATACATTCTGAACTAGCAGACAACGTGGTGTTTGAAGGTCTTGAATCACATTTGCCGGACCCGACCCAACGCCCTCTTTTAACAACAAAAATAAACTTCAAGTTTACCAGACGGTTCATTTGAAAATCTATTTGGTCCAAAGTAATAGGTATCAGTGAGTTCAGCTGCTCGTTACTATTCCGCATGGGGAAAAAAGTCCGGCGGACTCATGAGCTCGCCCCCAGGACGGTCAGTAAGACCACGTGAGGTGGGGGTGAGGTGGAATGGGGTTTAACGGCGCCCAAGGTTAAACAGCGACGTGCATGCACGTGTGTGTAGCTGCTTGTACTAGTCCGGACTGATGCCGATTTATAGTGCTAGCCCACTGAGATACCATGCCGCAGTTTAACATGAACACCCCACTCAGACATAGTATACTGACTCCGAGCCGACCAGTCCTTGTTTTAGCCCCTTAATGCCGAGCGCCAGACAGGGTAACAACAAGTGACATCTTTTAACGTCTTTTGGTATGACGCGGCCGGGGATCGAACTCGAGACCTTCGGCTCTCCGGGCGGCCGCTCTACCACAAGAGAATGGAGGCGGTAGTAAGACCACATACATTAGGAATACCTGAAGATTCTGTAAGGAACGTCTAGACTATGATTCTGTGAGGAACGTCGAAACAGTGATTCTTTAATCTGGGCTTTGTTTATCCAGGATACTACACCGTCCGGATAAACGGGTCTCACTGATTATTCATCTACAAGCAGTGGCAAAGATAACACTGCATCTGAAGGAAAGGTTTAAGAGTCGAAGCAGCATTTCACAAAGGATCTCCTATATTCTACCGACAGAAATAAGGGAACTAGTGATTTCAATGTACTTATCATTGAGGTGCACAGTTACAATACCGTGGCGCTGCATCTGAACGCAACATCTAATCGCGTGCATGAGTGTAGTGTTGCGTGTAGCTCCGTGAACGGCACGTGATGCAAGTGCACACACAAGCTAAAGGTTAGCACTTATAGGGGAACTCACAATCACTAATGCATTTGGGCTAAACACACGCTTAAAATGCATCCGAGACAGTATCTCAATGAACAGGGCAAATGGTAATTGTGGGTAGGAAAGAGAGGAGAAATATAGAATACTAAACGAGCTCCCGTGCAATACCAATTTAATGAAATGAGTGACTAGTTGTGGTATCTGATGAGCGAAAGCGAGTCAGATACCACAACTATTCATGAGTTTCATAAAATTGGTTTAACACGGGAGCAAGTTTAGTATTTTATTTATTACTTGCCATTTATAACGTTTTTAGAATTATACTGTTGAGCATGAATAGGATGACACCTACACGATCCACGGCATAGTCCAACTGAGTTTAACAGAATAATACTTCAAAAGCGTCAAAAGTTGAAACGTTTGAATTTAATACCATACGACGGTCCACCTTTAGAATTCGGCGTCCGGTCCACCAAATTACCGTAGTGCTAAGACTATCGCAACTCACATACTTTACTTAGAATAACGACTGTCGTTGCGCTACAACACGATCGCATTGTGGAACGGGCCTTGCACCTCAAAGTTTACAATCACGTCACATTACCCGATGACGTAAATTGTGGAATTTTGTTGCAAGATCCATTGGCGAAACAATGCCATGTGACGTCAGCCTAGCAACAAGGTTGCTGGGGTCATCGAGTGTGCATAAGCTCCTCTCAGTGATCTATCAACTCCACACGCAATGTCGTTGAATAAGCCAAGAGATGTTGAGAGCTTTCAATATTTGTTCGTGAAACGATATCTTCACGGGCAAGTAATAAATAGAGGATCTCACCCTCGTGTCTTTTGATATCCAATATATCAACACGAGTTGAAAAAAGTGGAAAAATTCCGAGGCTTGCCGAGGATTTTTGCCACTTTTATCAACGAGGTGTTGATATATTTGATATCAAAAGACACGAGGGTGAGATTTTATTTATCATCCAACATCATTCTTTCAACTTTTTCAATTTATAGACAGTAATTAGCAGTGTCTTCAGTGTAAAAAGTACTGCAAACAGCTTCAGTAGCAGAGCCATTAGTGATGTCATTTGATTGTGACGTCATGGTAACCAGTGACGTCACAATGGTCTGCAAAGCATTGTGATGTAATTTCATTGCAGCGATATCTACAGTGTAGATATCGCTTGATCTCATCCAAGCGATATCTCCTGTGGGAGCCAGTTTTGGATGATAAATAGAGATTACTACACGAGTGTCTGTCAGATACCATTGATCTTACAACGAGTTGTTTCAAAACGTATCTAACGAGCGAAAGCGAGTTAGATACGCTTTGTAACAACGAGTTGTAAGATCAATGGTATCTGACAGGCACGAGTGCAGTAATCTGTTTCTTACACACCCTAAAATCGCACCTTTTTAGCATCGAACCGATGAATTTTGTCTATTCTCATGATTGCAGTAGCGCATTAATACATAACACCACTGTCATAAGTGACGTCATCCTATGTGCTGCTTACTTCTCATAAATAATGTGACCCTACACAAAAAGGTTTTCGTCATATCTGTGGATTATCAAGGCGATGATGTAAATGCAAACTAGACAAAAACAAAGAACACGCTGGGTGCCAAGTTGAAAGTGTACACCTCAAAGAAATTACCAAATATGTACAACAATGTTTACTTCCGTATTACATCACTACCGGTGACCGACATTTACAAAATGGCGTGTTCACTGACAACAGTACGCGGGATTTCCAGAGGAGGATTTTCTTTGATT